CTTCCTCTTTTTCTCTGACCCTCCACCTTACCTGATATCCTTCTCCAGCGACTGGTCCCTCCTGACAATATGTCCAAAGTATGAGAGATGAAGTTTGGCCATCTTGGCCTCTAAGGAGCACTCTTTGGCCTCTAAGGAGCTCTATGGCTGCACTTATTCCAAAACAGATAGTCAGTGCTTATTAGAAAGCCAGTATGTGTTCATTATTACTATGTCTGAAGGAAAATCAAAGGGACAGGGAAGAACAGAAAAGAACCCCTTGGTCTAGGAAAGGGACTGCCGTCAAGAGAGACACTCTTGGGCAGACAGAGGCAAGGGGGGATCTGGGCAACTGGGGAGGGGTTGACAGATGGTTGAGGGGAATGGAAAGAGGAGGCTCCTGGGAGGGACTGGTCATCCACCTAGCACCTGGTTCCCTAGTAAGTGAGAGGGAGAGTCATAGCCCACCTCCCAGAAGGTCATACATTTGCATAAAGTTCCTCATCTAAATCAATTTACATACAAATGGCAGCCTAGACCTTCCTCAGTCTGACAACCCTCACCCCACCCCCACTCATGGTCTCCCGTCTTGAAATGGGAAAGGCTAAATTACAGAAACTGGGACTCCAAGATGTAAAGGCAAGCTTGGAATAAACTCTCCTTGCTCATCAATCTTCTGTGGCTCCCTATTACTCTCAGTAGTATGAGCCATCCATTTTCCCTGGCATTCAAGGCCTTCCAAGATGCTGGTCCTCACACGACTTTCTCTTAGTGACTTTGTTTTGTGGAATGCCCTTCACCATTGCCTCCACTGTAACCAAGATTGCCTTTTCGTTCAAGGCGTGGACGTTTTGAAAGAGTCCACAGTTTTGAGTTCACCAGCTTCTCCATGGGAGGAAGATGAGCCTTTCTGCTCCCTGGAAGATTTAAACTCTCAGAAGCCCTAAAAAGGTCACTGACCTTTAGTTAGTAGCCTGGTGCCTTAATCACTGTATCACCAGGATTCCTTAAGAAGCTATATGTTGTTGATAAGTGCCATAGAGTTGAACCCCCAGCTACTCCTTGGGAGAAAGATGTGGCAGCCTGCTTCCTTAAAGATTGTTAGGTGCTGTTGGAGTCAAACTCGTTGATCCTTTATAGGGTTTCTGAGGACCCGCTAGTGGTTTGGGACGTCCAGACTTGTGGTTAGCTGTCCAGTGCTTACCCTACAGCACCACCTAGGAAACCCTTTGGGGCAGTGGTATCATGAATCAAAATAGACTACAGAGCAATGACTTTATAAAGTGTCCATCCCTTTTTCCTGCCCCTGGAACTTTACAGGAATCTCTGCCTCTTCTACAGCCTACTAGTAAGGACATGTGTTAAGTGCCACTGAGTAGGTTCTAACTCACAGCGACCCTGTATAGGATTTCCAAGGAGTGACTGGTGAGTTTGAACAGCCGACCTTGTGGTTCAAACAGACCTTGTGGTCCAGTGCTATATTCTCCAGTGCCACAGCAGGACTCCAGTGAGGATATGTTTGGTTGCAAATGATAAAAACCTAACTCAAGAATTGGTATAGGTGAATATGAAAATTATTCACTCATAGCTAAGGAAGTTCAAGGGATATCCAGCTTCAGGCATCGCTGGATCCAGGGGCTCAAAGCTGCTCTTTTCCATCTTTCAGCTCTACTGTCCTTTACATACAGGCAGGATCTTTTGTTTTAGGTGCCACCCACAGCACAAGTTTTCTGCCCTACCAGCTTAGCAACCTCAGTGAAAGATGGTGTCAAGCAGAAATCTTAGGGCAATTCTTACTGGTTAGGAATTAGTTGCTTGTCCATCCAGGATCCAATTCCTATGGCTGTTGTTAAGTGCCATTGAATTGGTTTCAACTCAGCGACCCTGTATAAGGTTTACAAGAAGCAGCTGGTGGATTTGAACCGCTGCCCTTTTGGTTCAAACTGACTCTGCAGTCCAGCGTATTCGCTCATGGCGCCACACTAGGATGAAATACTCTGATTGGCTAGACCTAGGTCAGATTCTCTCTGAACCTTAAGAACTAAAGGGGTTCCCATAAGAAAACTGGGGAGCTACTTCTGAGATATGCAGATGATACAAC